GCTTGCTGTTAAGGAAGATCTTACATATGAAGAGTATCCGATAAAGATCTTACAGACGGTGGAAAGAGTTACAAGGAGCCGAGTTATCAAAATGTGCAAGGTACAGTGGAATCGGTATACAGAGGATGTGGCTACTTGGGAAAAAGAAGAGGATCTGAGAAAGTCTTATCCCCAACTGTTTGAGTAAACAATCACCTGAATCTCGAGGACGAGATTCATCTTAAGGGGGTAGAATTGTCACACCCTGGAAAATTTCATTTTTTTTAAAATAGCCAAATTGATTTATTTAAGCAATTTTTGTGAGCATTAAACCTAGGGAAATAATAGTTTTATGGAATTAAAATCAATTATAAGGTTAGTAACCTCTTGATGCATACATGCTGCTGCATATTCATTCTTGGGATGATTGGTTTGACCAAATTTGAAAACAAGAATTCAAATCCATTTGAAAAAAATACTTTTGAAAAACTCTAGAAAATAAAAAGAAAAAGAAATTTCCTTTCCCTTCCCTCCCTTCCTCAGTTTCGACCCACGGGCCCTTTCTTCCAAGCAGCCTAGCTCGGCCGCAACTGCACAGCCCAGCCAACGCGCCGACCCAGCACCGCGCGCCTGCTCCCCGCGCCCAGTCGCTGACCGCCTGGCCCCACCTGTCGACGCCGTCTCCTTCCTTCCGCAACCGTCGCGTGAGCCGCAACCGCCGCCCGCTCCTGGCATCATGGGCACGTCGCCCCGTGCCCGGCCTCTACAAAAAGGGTGCCGTGACCCCGCGCGCACCCCTGCTGCCTATCCCCGCTCCCATTTTACACTCGCACGAGCCGTGGACGCCGAAAACCATCGCGCCGAGGATCGCCGGGATCCGCCGTCCGCCCCTCCGCGCAAACCGCCATCCCCGAGCCGCGTTCGTCCCCGATTGAAGTCGCGGTGAGCTTCGCCTTGTTCCCCTCTATCTCCCCATGCCTTTTAATTCGAGTTTTGAGGCTTCTAGAGCCTTTGCCGCGTGTGCCCGTGTGCTTCGGCTACCGGCCATGGCGACCACCGCGCCAACCGCGTCCACCGGCCCCATTCTCGGTCTGGCCGAGGTCTCCTTCACCCCCTCTATCCCTCGGTGTTCTCGGATACGAAAACCGAGGCTTCTAGGCCTTGTTTCCCGTGCGCCGGTGAGGTCCTTGCCGTCGGCCATGGCAGCGCCGCCGTCGAGCCACTGTTCCGGTGGCGTCTCCCTCTCTCTCTCTCTCTTCCCATCTCTAATCCAGGCCATCCCTTGATTGATCGATGGCCTAGAATGGCCGATACCCTTTCGCCCTGGCAGTTTTGCTTAAGAGTCCCTCGGTTTCGGATGAATTGAACCCGCCGTCCCTAGCGTAGTTTCTAGAGTACGCTTTCTCATTTTGAAAACGTAAAGTGCACTGTTTTAGTCCAAAATACGTTTTCAGTATTTACAGAAATGCCATTAGATTTATTTTGCTCATAAAAACTTTGTTTTACTCCGAATTGACTCGTTCAAATTTCGTTAGCTTCGTAATTTCATAATCTACGTGTTAGTATCACTGTTAATCAAGTTTGCAACTTTTAAATTTCATGGTTAGGGTTAATTAAATAAAGTGCTATAGGAAAACCCGTTTAATTCATAACTTTCGCGTTTTAGCTCCGATTTTCGTGAACTTCGCGTTGACGTGATCGTAGCAAGACGTAGATTCTTTTCATAAACATTCTATCTTGTTTTCTATACTGTTGGTGTACTGTTCTAACTGTAGGATTGTTTGCTTTGCATGAATGTTCCTAGAATGTTGTGTGTTGCCGTGTTGGTCGTGTTCAGACGGTGAGAAGAAGTTGGAGACCAAGAGTTCTTTGACGACCAGCAGGATCAACAGGAGTTTGTGAACCAAGGCAAGTATAGCATGGGCCTACCTTGATGTCCTATTCACTTTAATCATTTACTCATGTGCATGTGTCTAAATTTGATAACCTTAAGGACATCCTAGTTATTTGATGCCATGTTCCCTTGACTCCTTTGGGTTAATTGCATATGGGTAGATTGCTAGTGCTCTAACTGAACATGATCTATACAATGGTTAATGGATCTATGGAAATAAAAGTAAAACATGATTTATAACAACTGATCCATAGGGCGAAGGTGCAAATGACTTTTGATCATGTTGCTCTCGGCCCTCCATAAGGACTTATCTGTCGACAAAAGCTAGGACTGACAGTGCAACCATGAGAGTCATATGGCTCTGACTTTAGCTCAGTAATAGGACCTTTTCTAGCTTGTTAGAGGTTACCTTTATAGCGCAAGAGGGGCTTGCCACGTTGGGTATAGGACTGCCTCTGTTCCTATGTGTATAGCCGCGATGGATATGTGCCATAGGAAAGGGGGGGTTCCTACATCTGCCTGTCGAGGAAACCCAGCGGCCCTAACTTGTTAGATAAACCTATGAAATGGCTTCATAGTGTACCCTGCCCGCTCACCTTGGCAGTGATATGGGAGTAATTAACCCGGGTATATGGGAATCATGACTCGCGGTGAATGTGCACCACCTCTGCAGAGGGTTACAAACTGTTATAACAGCCATGCTCACGATCACGAGCGGCTCGAAAAACTCACAAAATAATTGGTTACTCATTGTTGTTCATTTATGATGGTTTATGATGATATGATCCAAATGATGCTGATATCTGATTAAGTGGGTTGAAATAGGAGCTTAAGCATAACTTGACAATCAGTGATGATAAAATCTTGACTTACTAAAAGTGCTAACAGCAGTAAACCAATGTCATCCTTTTTGAGCCTCATGAACCCCATGTTATCTTGTTGAGTACGGGATGTACTTACGCTTGTTTACTTTATATATTTGGATAAAAATCCCGGATGGGTAACAGATGACAACATGTATGAGGAGTTTCCTGAGGATTATTAGGCTTGTGGTCAACCAGTTGACCTTCTCTGTGATGGAGTTCCACGAGAGAGTTATCATTTTATATTCCGCTGTGTTGTGTAAGACTATATGTTGTTATTAATCGTGATGTAAGATACACTGTGATGATACTTTTTACAATTTGTCAACTTGTGTGTGTGACTGATCTCTGGGCACACATGAGTTTAGTGCATTCAATTTTATCCTTAAAATTGGGTGTGACAGTTGTGTTTGACAAATACAAAACCTTTTTGCAGATCTTCAAAAGGACACATTGGATCCGCTTCTAGAGTCAATTACCACGCGGTATACCCTTAGTGAATGAAAGTCCATGGGACGCAATGAAAACTTTTGGTGCGGCATACCCTTAGTAACTCAATGATAGGAGTGCCACGCCGAGTCAATTATAGATTTTTATTGTTGTCTTTGTTATTTAATAATTGTATTAGAGTTACGGTGCAAAAAAAATTCTTAACTCTCAAGTCCTAAAATTCCTATCATAGAGTGATTTTTTTACATTCAGGAATATAAAAGCATTCCGGCCTCCAACATTCACCCAAGAATGAGTATAGCCGTTCAATACAACTCCTGGGTACTTAGACCAAACCTAGCAAAACAAAACCCAAATAAGGCAAAGACAACACTCAATAGTGAGTTGTTGAACTAACAGTGAAGTCAAAACAATAGGCATCACTCAAAAAGTGAGCCAACATGCTAAACCAAGGAGACTTAGGTCTAGATCCTTCTTTGTTGTCATGATCCCAATTTTCTGAAGATTTCGATCATCATAACTTCCAAGCGACAATGCCCTTCCTTCAGTGCCACTCTCTGTTCCTCTTTGGATAACTGTGACCACTGTCTGACCCAATACATCCACCTGAAGATTACATACAAGAAGAAATTAGTGTTTTTTTGGGAACCGAAGAAATTAGTATTAATTTGTTCTTGAACACAACGGCCCCGTTCGCTGGTCTGAAATTTGGTTGAAACTGGCTGAAAAACACTGTTCCGGCTGAATTGTTGTGAGAGAAAAACACTGTTCCAACTAAAAAAAGAAGCCGAACGAGCCAAATATGGGGTAAGCTGAGAAAAGAAGCCGAACATCATTTCTACTCAACCACAATGGCTAGCACATTGCCGACATACCCACTATACTTAGTTTTTGTCACAAGGAGCAAAACTTTTTTACTAAGAACCAAACATCTGGACTGTACCGTTTGGTGGTTGAATATTAAAAACGATGAACAACTAATTCCACAAAAAAGCTTGGTATATGACAATCAAATATGACAATCAAAGAAGAGGTGTTGGATCGTTTCCTCTAAGGCACAAAAACTGCACTTAGCATCACCTTTCCAACCCCTTTTCAGCAAGTTTTCCTTTGTTAAAATTACACCTCTTTTTGGATACCAAAGAAAAATCTTTATTTTTAAAGGTAACTTAGCCTTCTAGAACAAGACTTTCCCATGAATCCCTTCTTTCATCATGATATCTTTATACAAAGACTACATCGAAAAGATACTATTTTTATGTAAGTGCCAAATAAAAACATCCTTAATCTCATTTAAAGTAGGAGGCAAAATTAAGTCACAAGACTAAGCCAATCCTTCAGCTTCTCCCCAGTTAAAGCCCGCCTAAACGAAATGTCCAAGGGGGGTGAACTTTGCACTGTAACACCCTTTCTTCTCACAATTCTATACCGAGTAAGCTACCTTATATTAACTTTAAAGGTTTCTGGCCAACCCAAAGATCTTCCCAAAATCTAGTTTGGTTCCCACTGTTGACTTTGAATTTTCCCTTCTCTAGGAAAAGATCTTTGGCATCCACAAGTTCAACTTCACATATCTTAAATAGCTACAGTTTTACATTTTCTATTGTTTTTATATGGGATTTTCTGATGTTTGATAGATCCATATATTTATGTACGTGGAGCTGGAGGAGTCCCAACTCCCAAGACCCAAACATGCCTATGGAGAGCGGAGCAGGCAGCCGCCAAAGGCGACCCAGATGCTGTGCTCAAAGTCGCGGTCCACGCGCGCCCCTTGCGAGTTGCTTGCTACTAGGCTTTTTACAATCCACAGCTCCATGACTCCGTCACCGCCGTTACCACTCACCACCACCATGAAGAATCCTTGGCTCCTATGCCTCGTCCCCCTCCTCCTGGCCGTGTCGTCGTCGCTGCCTCTAACCGCCGCCATGTGGCGGCCGCTGCGTTTCCCTGCCGCAGGGCAGTCCCCTGTCGAGTGCGTCGGCGACGGCGTCTATGCTGCTAACAGCACCTACCAAGCCAACCTCCGTCGCGTCGCCGCGCTCCTCCTAGCCGAGGTATCCGCCACGCCCGGCCAGTCTTACGCGACCCGTGCCGTCGGGTACTGGCCGAACCGGTTGATGGCCAGCTCCCTTTGCTGGCGCGGCGGCTACCGCTGCGCCGACTGCATCGCCGGGGCCTTCCTCGAGGTGGAGAGAGCGTGCCCGTACCGCAGGGAGGCCTTGTTTTCCGACCGCAACTGCACTCTCGAACTTGCCGAGATCCGCATCTTCGGGACTGGTGGCATCTTCCGTGAGTTCTTCTTCTGGCCTTCTGCCATGCTTCGTAAGTTCGTATACAAAAAGTCTTGCCGGTTTTTTCAATTTTAACAAGCTTTGCTTCTAGGGAACACAGCCTTAGCTTTGCCATGCCACCTATAGATTTGTGGCAACTGATCGAGTGGCTCAGGATTGAAATTTAATTTGGAGATTTATATCGTCACACGATTGCTTAAGTTGCTGGAATGTAGCTATACAAATTAGAAGCACAGGAGTTTCAGGAGCAGGCTAGCTAATCTCTGAGTGTGTTCAGACTTGTTTTGGCTTGTGTTAAATTTCTTTTAGCTTTGTCCTGCTAACCTGTGTGCTGTGTGCATTCTCGAAAGCAACGGTCAGAATTCGTATTCCACTGTTTAAATGAATATATGAGTTTGCTTTCTTTCTTACCCTGCACCTCGGTTTTATCATTGCCTAAGTGTTTTAACTCAATGGCCATATACATCCATTCGTGGATGCAGAGGCCAGAGTCCTTTATCTAAAAAAAAGTGTTTTTAACTCAAACAAACATGTAATTGTTTGGGAACTAATGTTGACTTACAGATGCATTAACTGAGGTTCTTGTGTGTTTCATTTCAGATGAAGGGAACATACTGAAACAAGTCATGGCTTCGGGATTGGTATTTCAAGCAATTGGATTTGGTTGCCTTTTCTTCTTGCTATTTCAGGAATGGCGCAGCCACAAAAGAGGCACTTTGACGTAAGGCCCCACTCAAAACACAAGAGTTGATCGATCCCATATCTCGTTCTTAATCGAACTACTATGTGAGACCCCGCTAAATGGACCAAGTTGGGCCGGTCCGATGGGCCGGGCCGAACGGACGAGCTACTGTAGTTCAGGGTTGCCTGTTACTGCAGTAACAAAAAGTACTGTAGCTACGAGACTTTAGTCCATAGGAACCAGAGGAGGTACCGAACCAGCTTAAAAGTCTAAGCCTGGGAGGAAATTAACTCCGATCTGAACCTTTTATGCGAAGCGAGGTCGAAAGCGCAAGAGAGTTAATTAGCAGGTGTTGTCCATTCAACATGTAGAGTGGATCTTAGGCTCTTAGCCGTCATCCCGGGTCAGGGCGTTACATACTTCCTATAGGATCCATATAAAATTTTTGAAATACAGCTCGTGTCTTCTAGAAGCAACAAGCAATTGATTGGATCTTTTTTTTATTATCAAAATGCCACACCTTTGAACATTTCTCAGACTTTGAACTACCTGGACAAATATATAATTTACTTTGTTCTCTTACATTGTGCAGGCATTCCACCCCTCTTTTATCTGGAGATTAAAATGCTGGCAACACAATTTTGAGCTCCAGTGTTCACTAAGGCATATACAGATGCATGAAGGGATCGGATTTTCTCTCAGGGGAATGAATACTTCCTCTCCACATTGTAGGACTTCAATTTGATCGTTTCAAACAAGCGCCAATGTTCATTTCACCTACTCTGATGTTTTCCCTATAGAATTTCATTCCCACTTGTCCTTGTATTGAAATATGTGTGTGAATATAAAACCCCAAATTTACCACGATTGAGCAGTACTCATAAATCATCAGTACCATATATACATCGTATAAGTACGATGAATGTGATAACTCGGTCGACTATTCATTCTCACTTGCAAGATCAAAACAGAATTACATCTTTGTTTTATCCTTGAAACATTTTTGAGTTCTAGAAAAACATACCTTAATGCTTGAATCATATGAGCGTGTGCCAAAAGACTAACAAGTTATGTGATGAATGTCGTTGCCGGCCGGCTCCACTATCCTGAGGTCAGTAGTCAAAGTCGTCCACCAGAAACCGGCTGGTGACAACTATGGTAGCGGGTAGCTACGCGGCTAACAGCACCTACGAAGCTGCGTGGTACAGCCTGTTCTCTTTCGGCCTGGACATACGAGCTGGCCAATAGTGTTTTTCTCTCGCAACGAACCAGCATCAGCTGAGCTTATCAACTCAGAAACCAACAAATAAACAGGCCGAACGTCTCCTCCAGACGTTAACAGTCAAAGTCGTCGTCCACAAAGCCAATAGTATCTCTCTCTCACAACAAACAAGCACCAACCGAACCTACCAGCTCAGAAATCATCCAGCCAGTAGATCGAACGTGTCCTGCAGACGTTAACAGTCAAAGTCGTCGTCCACGGGCGCCACTTGCTACACCCAGCGGTGGCCAAGCTCCTCGTGCTTCTCCTCTCACCCACCCTTTAGTAGTTTATTAGTTTCTACATATATATAGAACTGCAATTCTCGCTGATCGCCATCACCCCGGTCACCAGTTCACCACTCACCATCATGGAGAAGGAGAACCTCTCGCTCCTTTCCTTGGTCCTCCTCCTCGCCGCCTCGCCCCTCGTCGTCGCCGCATGGTCGGAGTCGGAACGAGATCCTCTGACTTCACCCTCTCCGACTACTGAGTGCAGTCAGGCAATCTCCACCGTTGCCAGCAGATCGAAGGCTACCAACTGGGATCAAGCCATAAGGGTCACGGGTCACGGCCCAGCAGCAGAAGAAATCATTAGCTTGACATCTTGTTTGCTGAAGGATTCTAATTTACCTGCCTCATCTCGTCCGATTTTTTCTTCTCTGATCTACTAGTGTTTTAATATCTCTAAACTTTTGAAAACCATTCACTTTTACACCCTGAGTGATTTTGATGGTCATTTTGCTGATGTGACGTCACGTCAAATGGGGTAAATTGGACTAAGTTGAAAATTTCAAGGAGATAAATCGGACTAGAAATATTTCTATAAAAGTATAAAAATTTATAAAAATAAAAAAGTAACCAAATGTATTTTTACATGAAAAATATATAATTAAAAATCATCAAACCTAGTTTAATCTTGAAAATAACCCAATCAATTATTTTAGCTTGAAAAATTATGAAACTTTTTTAAGATTTTTTAAAATCATCCTCTATGTTATGCTGCCTGCATGGAAAGTGTTTGAATTTTGATGAACTTATTTTGTTACTTATTTTCTAGTAGAAGTTCACGTATCTATTATAGTTAGTCGATATTGATCATCGGAACTACACAGAAGTGCCAGTGAAGCATTGTCAGGACCATAGTGGCCATTGGTTCCCTACCCTAGTATTTTTTCCAAAGTACATGTGTTAGCATGCGTGGCTGCATGCACCTTGCCGCACATATGCATACATCCATGGACCCCTTGTTTAATGTATACTTAATTAAGTTTTATAAACTATTAAATTTAATTAAGTTTTAGCGCAATGAATTATAGAGCGTAACGTGGCATGAAATCTAGATGGTAGCACACGAGTCATGATATTTGTACACATAGAATCAAGTGTCATGAGGTATTTGAAGCCATGCACCATAACATAGAGCATAATTTTAGAAAAAAAAATTAAAACTAGTTTTAAAATTTTTTGAGCTAAAACAAATATCTATGAATTTTCTAAAACCGGATTTTAGGATTTTTAATTATATATTATCATGTAAAAATATGTTTGTTTACTTTTTTGAATTTTTGTAAAATTTTAGATATTTTTCTATTAAAATATTTCTTATCTGATTTACCTCTTAAACTTTCAACTTAGTCCAATTTACCTCCTCAGGCGTGGCGCCGCATCAGGAAAACGACCATCAAAACAACCATCAAAACCATTAGGGTGTAGAAGTGAACATTTTTCAAAAGTTGAGAGATGTTAAAAAAACTAGTTTTGTAGATTTGCAGCAAAACCAGACGACCACAATAGTTAAGGAGGTAAATTAGAATTTTTTGGCCCCGTTCGCTGGTCTGAACTTTGGCTGAAACTGGCTGAAAAACACTGTTCCGGCTGAATTGTTGTGAGAGAAAAACACTGTTCTGGCTAAAAAAATAAGCCGAACAAACCAAATTTAAGACAAGCGAACAGGGCCTTTATGCAAAAACAAGATGGCGAGCGGATAACATATGGGGCCGCAATATACATCATCCGTTGTTGCCCCGTAACCCGTGACCGTAATCCCAGTTGGTATGCTCCAATATGCGAAGTCACCCTTTGATCTGCTGGCAACGGTGGAGATTGCCTGACTGCACTCGGCAGTCGGAGAGGGCGAAGTCAGAGGATCTCGTTCCCGCCAGCCACGGCTCCTGCCACTGCCATTGCGCCGCCGCGCAAACCATGGCTCTGGTTGTGCACCATCACCACCTGCGCCCCTACCTCGCCACTGCCACCGCGCTCTTCCTCGCACTCACTATCGCGCCTCTCGCCGCCGGGGACCCGCTGGGCCAGCTCTGCGGTACCAGCGGCAACTACACGCGCAACAGCACCTACCAGGCCAACATCCAGCGCCTCGCCGCCACGCTGCCCAGGAACACCTCCGCCTCCCCGACGCTCTTCGCCACGGACACCGTCGGCGCCGTCCCGGACATCGTCTACGCGCTCGCGCTCTGCCGCGGCGACGCCAACGCCTACGCCTGCGGCGACTGCGTCGCCACCGCGTTCCAGGACGCGCAGCAGCTGTGCGCCTACAACAAGGACGCCACCGTGTTCTACGACCCCTGCCTCCTCCGCTACTCCAACCAGAACTTCCTCGCTGACACCAACAGCGACGGCCGCGAGACCGCGCTCATCCTCATGAACACGCAGAACGTCACCGCGCCGTTCAAGGTGTTCGACGCCGTCGTCGCCGTGCTCCTCAACGCCACCGCCACCTACGCGGCCGCCAACTCGTCCAAGAGGTTCGGCACCGGGGTGGAGGCGTTCCAGAGCTTCGATAGCAATAACCTGAGGATCTACGGGGTGGCACAGTGCACGCCGGACATGTCGCCGGCCGACTGCCGGAGCTGCCTCTCGGGTATTATTCAGACGGGCACCAAGTACTTCAGCGGGAAGCAGGGTGGCAGGGTTCTTGTGCTGCGGTGCAACTACAGGTACGAGCAGTACTCGTTCTTCACAACCACCCCGCTGCTTCAGCTGCCGGAACCTACCGTGGGGGTCCCGGCGCACGCGCTCGCACCCGCGCCCGCGGTGGTGAACGGAACGCCACTGACGACCGGAAGAGGTGAGTTGCATTCACGCGCATGGTTCGCTAGCTGCACCAGGCGAATTTAGCAATTGAGGGTGGAGATTCAGGGTAGCGGTGTCCGGTGAGGTCCCGGAAGAACTCAAGGTCAAGGACTTATTTTGGTTACACAGTCCACTCTAATCTACATAGATTGTGAGTGACTGTATTTGAAGTAGAAAATTATCCACAAGCGTATAATAATTTTTTTTGAGGGAAAAGCATATAATAAATTTTCACCTTAGTCACTAACATCCATATAAATTGAAGTGGATTAGAGTATCATCAACCGAGTCCAATCCATTAGCAGAACATAACTTTTGATTCAGTTCGAAGCACAAGCGACAGGTTTCATTTAGTATTCCCTCCGCCCCGAAAGTTATCACTTTAAGCTATGAATCCGACAAACATTTGTTCAGATTTGTGACTAAAGTAATAACCTTTTTTTTGAACAGAGGAGTCTATACTGTATATGGAACGAAATGTTTTGATTCTAGTAAATAAATAACTGACAGATGTCAATGTCACTTGAGGTCTTGTTTAGCTGCACTTAGTATCTATTCGATCCACGTATGTTGAGATGAATTAAAGTGAAAATTAAACTTACATCTTCATCCTCTTCAACAAATATATAGATTTGATATGTATACGAGTGCATTGAAATTCGTTCGTACAACAATGTACATAAAAAATCAAGGAACCAAGTAAGCGAACAAATCCCGTGCATTCTGCTAGTTTTCCTTTCTTTTTCTTTGTCCCACCTTGACTTCTATGCAGTCCCGTAGCTATCAGTTGCCTGATGGGCAACATAGAAGTTTACATATGACCAGACTTCTGAGTTCTGACTAGTTCTGCTACTTCCGTGCAGAGAAAAAGTGTAATTTTAGATTAGTTAAAGTTGAACTGTTTTAAATATGACTAATTAAGCATGGGACCAGATGACGACAGAAGAGACTTTTTCTCTATCGTCCACTTGAAAGAGACAGGGGCATTAGAGTCATAATAATATTGGAGGCGAATCCGCCCTCCAACCTATTTCCTCTCCCATTATATCTGTCGTTCTATCAGTGCTTTTGGGTGTATGGATTCATAGCATGTTATATGTATCTGGACGCAAGATATGTCTAGATTTAGAGAATCTTTCTTGTAGCTGGTAGAAAGCTAGGACGACATATATAGTATAGAAGAGATTATAAGGTTCAAAGGTTTTGATTCAATAGAATCTACTCCTAAGTCCTATTATACTCAAAAAATATTTAAGACAATCTCCTTCTTGGGATATAAATGGATCCAATACGGACATATGTCTAAGAATACAAATACAGATATGGTGAACATTAAAGAAAAAACTTGCTCTTCTTCCGTTAAAAAATTCTTCTAAAAATACCAAATTCAATCGTTCCACATCGCTACTGTAGCAACCTAAAGAAAATTCAAACCCACCGTTACTGTAGCAACCTACCTTTACTGTAGCAAAGCCGCTGTCAAAAACCCGCCCGGGGGTAAAATAGACGTTTTGGAAAGTTCAGGGGGTAAAACAGACGGTTTCATAGTTGGGGGGTGAAGTAGACCATGTATGAAAGGTGAGGGGTTAAGTAGACTTTTTCCTTTGGGAAAAGGATTTTATAATTCCCCGTTCTTATCTCGCACTTGTTCCGTTCCACATCAGATTAAACTTTCGCCAGAATTTCAGCAGAAGGGAGTACTACTTTGAGTCTTTGACTTCTTCACTATTGTGAAGGTTCAATATCAAGTACTCCCTCCATCATGAATAGAACACAATTTTAGCTCTATCATTGGTTAATTTTTCTAAAACTTGACCAAGATTATAGAAAAAAGTATCAATATTGGTAACACAAAACATGTATACTATGAAATTATATTTCATGACGAATCTAATGACATTTATTTGGTATCATAAATATTGATACTTTCAATTTGGTCAAACTCAAAATAGTTTGACTCTGTAGGACGCTAGAATTGCATCCTTTCCTACTTGATATTCAGGTTTGGTGTATGCAGGGAGGAAAATGAATGCAGCAGGAATCTCTGCAGGCATAACCTGTGTTGTTGTGTTGATGTTAATTCTTTCGGTCTTTTTCTTTATTCGCTTCAGGCTAAGGATTAATGTGAAGAAAAATGATCACCGTGAGTAGCAATATTGGTTTTTCGTATGAGCCTGTATTTTCGGTTTCCAAACATAAATTCTTGTCATATGACACCAGCACTGAAGAAGATAGGGAGAGCTCAATGCACGATCTTTGATTTGCTGACGCTGGAAGAGGCGACTGAACATTTCTCAGAGAAAAATAAGCTTGGAGAAGGTGGTTTTGGTATTGTGTACAAGGTAGGTAATCGAGTGAGAACTCAGGGAAAAAAAATTCTAGTACATCATGCCTTCTCTGAAAGTCGATCTGTTTCAGGGGATACTGTCAGACGGGCAAGAGATAGCAGTCAAGAAACTTTTAGGAAGAGCCGGGTCTGGGTTGGATCAGCTACAAAATGAGGTGCAGGTACTGGCAGAGCTTCAGCACAAGAATCTTGTTGGGTTACAGGGTTTCTGCTCGCATCATAATGATACACTTCTAGTTTATGAATACATCAAGAATGGGAGCCTTGACAGCATTCTATTCGGTACTTCCCTCTTCATTGACCTCTTCAGATGCATATCCAGAATTCCATTGTCAGGGGTCATGGTAAATAAAATGTTACACTGCTCGGATGCTTTTCATGAATCCTTGGGAATTTTTAGGCTCTAAGTGAACCTACTGATAGATGAGTGTGATGGGAAACATAATTGCTGCCCCTACTGTAAAAAATACTTGATACATTAGACTTTGAATGTCTTCGATGCATACACTAATTTGGTCTAGAATATATTGTTAAAATCCTTTAGTTAAAGAGATTTCGCAAGCATTTTGAACACAAATATACATGAGATCTCAATGTACATATATAACTTACATGTTTCAAACTGAATAATGTAATAGTTATTGGTGTTTGTACGTTTTAAGGTTTGATCGAATATTACCCTAAATGACATGTTTTTGTGACCAGAGGGAGCACAATTATGAAAAAAGGGAAATCAAATCACTAGATTGATATCTGATAAAGTAATTTAGATGGTATTACTGAAAAAGTGACAGTTTAGATTCTTTTCTGAACTTTGCCTGATTGTAAGGTGTTTCTATATTGTTTTGCCAGTATTTACCTATCAGTAACACCTAATATAAGCTAGTAATTTGGGCACAACAGATGATAGCAAAGGAAATGCACTTAACTGGGAGCAACAGTACAACATCATCTTTGGAATTGCCAAGGGGATATTGTATCTCCATGAGGACTCAAGCATGAGGATCATCCATCGGGACCTGAAGGCAAGTAACATTCTTCTCGACGACAACATGGAAGCGAAAATTGCAGATTTTGGGTTGGCAAGGCTTCTAGGAGAAGGCCACACCCATACTCAGACAGCCAGAGTTGTTGGGACATTGTAAGCTAAGCTCGCAAACTTGGCTTACTGCGCTTGTTGAATGCATGAGTGTCCAGGCCTAGCTAACTGAAGCGCCTCCCATCCTCTGCAGTGGCTATATGGCGCCAGAGTATGTATTGCATCGTCGTGTGTCGCCCAAGATCGACATCTTTAGCTTCGGCGTGTTGGTCCTTGAGATCGTGACCAGGAGAAGCAACTGCAGCTCTGATGACCACAGCACTGTGAATCTCCTTAGTGATGGTAAGTGAAGTGCCTGGTTGGCTTTGTTTTCCATTTCTTTTTTTACTGCATCTAAGGACTAAAAGATTCATACCATCGTGTCTGAATCTGGAAGCCCTCTCTAGTTTCTACTGACAAATTATAAACTGATGCTGGTCACCTATCAGGTCTGGGATCACTGGAAGAAAGGGTCGATGTCACAAATGCTTCACCGGTCGCTGAATGAGTTTGCTCGAAGCCAAGCGCTGCGATGCATCCACATTGGTCTGCTGTGCGTCCAGCCGGAACCTGACGATAGGCCTGACATATCAGCCGTAGTGTTTATGTTAACCAGGGATAGCATAGAGCTCCAGCCGCCGGCGCAGCCTGCATTCTTCTTCGGTAGAGAATCACCTTCAGCTTCACGGTCAGATGGTCAAAGCAGCTATGTATATGACCGGTCTCGTTTCATGTTGGAACAGGGCGTCTCTGTGAATGGGGTTACACTCAGTGAACTGTATCCTAGATAGGATCAAAGTCTGGATACTGAGCACATGGAATACAGCTGAAACTTAATCACTTTGGTTAACATGTTGAACTCTCTATGAGTTCCCAAATTGGCATGCAGCAATGGGTTTTCATAAATTTATTATGAAAATATATTCTATAACTAATTAATGATACTTATTTTATATTATAAATATTAGTATTTTTTTATATAAATTTAGTCAAAGTTCAAACTGTTTGCTCTAAAGGGCCATGCTAGCGCGGGGCGCTAGCGCCCCCGTGTGCTGCTGTGCCTGCCCGCGTGCTTCGCGCCCCGCTGGCTTGCCGCACCTGTTGTTGCTGCTGGGTTCGCGCCTGCTGGCTTGCTGCACCCCGCGCGTGCTGCTGCTACTAGGTCCGTGCGTGCTGCTGATGTGCCTGCACATGAGAGCATGTGTGTGGGGCCCGCCCAGCTGCATGTGAGAGAGAGGATGGAGCACAGCGGGCATACCCGTGTTGACCCCAGCTGCATGCTCCACCAGGGGAACCAAGCCTGGTGATGAAAGGGTGCCTGGTTCTGCGCTCCGTTGGGTGCTGGCCCGCTTTGGCGCTCTATATGCACGCATACACTTTGACCAGGGAGTGCTCGGCCATTTGGGCACTGACCGTCCGTTGCATGCACGTCCGACTATTGGAGTTGGCCTGCATGATGAAGATAGGCAGCGCTGGATTGGTGCGTGCCCTCGAGTCAGAGCGCGTGGGGAGTAGCATCTACTGAAACATACTGAAACCAGGTGAAACAATTGAAACATACGTTTGCAACATATGTGTATAACCACTGCAACATATGCAACATACAGATAAAACACTTGCAACATACCTCTGAAATAGGTGAAACATTTGGAAAAACACACTTGCAACATACGTTTGAAATAGCTGAAACATTTGAAACATATACTTGCAACACACGCGTACAACCATTGCAATATATGCAATGCCAGATCTACTTTTGCAACATCCAGGTGAAACATATGCAACATACATTTGAAACGCATGAAACATACGGTTGCAACATGTGCTTATCTACCTGCTGCCGCCCAAGGAAGGCTCGTTAACGTGGGCGCGCGGGGGGAGGGGGGGCAGCGCGAGTGCGCGTGTGGTGCGTTGCGCGAGGCACGGGCGGGGCGCATGGCACGAGGCGGGTCTGGCGTGAGGCGCAGGGGCGCATGGTGCGAAGCGGGTCCGGCGTGAGGCGAGTGGCGCACCGTACGAGACGGTTCCGTCTCGATGGAAGCGTCTAGATTTTTTTTAATAAATAATGGGCCAGTCAGACCTGGTCCGTAGCCCCAACAAAGACGCGTGTCCGTCCGGACGCTCGGTAGAGAGCATTACGGTTCTCAAAAAGTGAGAATTGCATTATTTTGTGGACAAAGGGAGTATGTTCTGGGGTGCGGTTATGCTGCATACACGCTACTGTTAGGGCACTTGTCGGCTTGTGTTGCCAACAAGAGGAAACCAAAGTTCGCTCCAGCTGCGGTTTGCTTACTATAAAACACCCTACATGTTTTTTGAACTAAGAAAAAGCCACGGCGCCTAAGCGAACACGCCCAATTCTTCTTGCTGCCTTCCGGGCCTTATTTTGGCCCAGTTAGAGAAGAATGAAACACAACAAGGAACTGGAAACACGACGGGTTAAGGCCCATGGACATAAATATCAGTCCAGTTAATGGATTCGAGATTTCTCAAAAACACATTCAACATTTAAAAAAATGATTGGTTCAATTAATTTTCACTGCTAGAACAAAGTTTTCACTGCTAAAATAGATCAATAATTTAGGTAAAGGGTTAAAGGTTACTTCATATTATTTTTCATCAAGTTATAAGTCTCAGTGGTTGTACAGTAGTATAGTATTATTAGCAGTGAAGACAACGTTGACATGTCGGGCCTGTTCGCTGGTTGGTGCTGGTGCTGGTTTGGGCTGGCTGGTGCTGGTTTTTTGTGAGAGGAAAACACTGTTGGCTGGCTGGTTTGGGCTGGCTGAAACCAACAAGCGAACAGGCTGGTCGTATTATATATACTATTGCAAAGGTTGAGAGGAAGGAGCACCCGCGGTCCATTTGCAGGTACCGGATTTTATTAATTTATTATAGTTTGCCGTACATAATGATGTACAGTACAATTAGTATGTTCGCTTGCTGATTTCAGCCAGGGCTTATCAGCCAGCCAACAATGTTTCTCTCTCACAATAAACCAGCACCAGCCGAGCTTATCAGTCCAGAAACCATATGTAACAGTGTTTCTCTCTCACAGTAAATTAGCATCAGCCATATGTAACAGCAAGTAAAGGAATAAACGGGACAATGCACAAGAAATTTCTTTCAGTGGTTATCACCATGTCAGGCATAAGTCAACTACGGAAGACGTTGCAAATGGAAAGAAGGGTCTTTCAAAAAAAAAAAGGAAAGAAGCAACAGGGCAGGGCACCAGGAACAGATGCGTTGATAGGTCTAACTTTTTTTTTCATTTTTTTCCCCAACGAGCCTGATGTTTTTAGGTTTTGTGTAATCATAATAACAATGCAGGTAATTTTCTAATGGATAGAACTATGGCCTCAAGGCTCAAACACTACAGCCACATGTTCCAAAATATGACAGCCAAACTACCTAATTTCTGAAAATCATGTTTATAACTGCAGCCACTATGCTAGTTGCACAGATTAAGAATTACACACGGTTGCATCTTAGAAACCAAACAAGATAATATCACCCCTCCCCTTTCCACACATGAAAACGAATTTATATGGACAACCATGAGAAAACAAGTTGATAATTTATATTTATGGCTAATTAATTGCAGACTATAGTCATGCAATCAAACTGTTATCTGCATGCCACAAGAGAACATAAATGTAACAGTTCTAATTTCTAGGTATGCAAATTCCACCTTGAAACAATTAAATAAATAGATGGAAAGTACGTCAAAAATCTTACCAATCGTGGGTAGTCCCCATTAAACCACGATCGTATATAACCTTCAGCTTTCCAGATTCCGTGAAAGGAACTACATTCATTACCCAGACATCCTTTTTCTTCAGAGATGCTGCAAATCCTTCAAGGTTAGCACTCATATCCATAACATTTCTAAAGGAATCCTTTCATATATCAGACTTCATGTGCTTCCAATATTGAATTACTCTAGAATACCAAATGTCCTGCAAATAATATTTCAAGGTTAAATAGATCACCATCAGAGAGGGTATGTGCGGTTCAGTGGTTGTGTGCCCATGTTGTAAAACGCTGATGTTTCATACTGCAGCCAGCTAATCCGACAACGAGAGCAGTGTGCCATTTCGAACGAGCGGCTTGGGTATGGTAGCCTCCTAGTGCCCAACACACCAAGGGTTGCCGGGATCCCTCTCTCTAGGGCAAACGGAACCTCGTCCCTGCTCCTCGGCCACCTGATGGGCACCTAATCAAGCATCGCACGGACGCGCGCACATCACATCAGCGTGAGCATTAGAGCAACACAAACAAGGTGCAAGTGCAACACGGCACTCTGCAATGTAACACACGGTGGCTTCTCCCTCACCTGGTATCCGACGGGCGGTGGGATGAGGCAGTTGAGGCGGCGCGGCGCCGGTGGGCAGTGGCGCTCGTAGTGCTCCATGAGGGAGAGGTTGAGCCGGAGCCGGAGCTGGTAGTGGAGGCGTCGGTCCAAGCACGGGATCAGCTCCGAGTGCCGCGCGTCGCACACCTGTTCGATTTCGAACCCCACGACACACGCACTCGGGGTCAGCACTCAGCAAAGCGCAGAGTCACAGACCGCTCATCACGACTCCGTTAACGAAACAAGCAGAGGGCGCGGGTGTTGGGCGGCCGCGGTGCGCACCGGGATGGAGGAGATGACGAGGTCCACTGGGAGCGCTTCCGTCCCTTGGGCCGGGAACAGCAGCCGGAGGGGAAGGCGAGGGTGCGCGCGGCGGATGGAGGGGGCGAAGGCGGCGCCGTAGAAGAGGCAGAGAAGCGCCAGCGCGACGACGGCCGCCGCGAGGAGGGACGCGAACGCGCGACGGCCGAGCGCGCCACCCCCGCCTGCTCCCCTGCCCTGCGGCTGCGGCCTCATTGCCGTTCCCGCTCGCGTCGCGCGGCGTGGCGTCTTTACTTCACTGGTGGGACGGCGTCGGCATGAGTGGTAGCGGCGGCGGAACGGGGCAGCGTGCGTGGGGCTCACCTCGCTCGCTGCTCGGGCCTGATGCACGCGGACGCGGAACGGTGCAAGGGGAAAATGCGTACCGGCGCCGTAGCAACTGTCGCTGAGCTCGGCGTAGATCTACGGCGCCGAGCTCGTACCGCGCCACGTAAGCAGTCACGTGAACGACACGTAGAAAATGACACTGGACCTTGATGTCAAAAGTAATTGACGCCGAGACGTGTAAGCTCGACGTCAATTGTCACGGCACGCCGAGGTTATGGTCTATTTTTTGAAAGGATACTGTCATTTGTGAAAATGTTTTGAAAAAACCGCTGAAAAACAAAAAAAATTCGTCCCCTTGCGAGTTGCTTGCTACTAGGCTTTTTACCATCCACAGCTCCATGACTCCACCGCCGTCACCACTCACCACCACCATGAAGAATCCTTGGCTCCTATGCCTCGTCCCCCTCCTCCTAGCCGTGTCGTCGTCGCTGCCTCTAACCGCCGCCATGTGGCGGGCGCTGCGTTTCCCTGCCGCAGGGCAGTCGCCTGTCGAGTGCGTCGGCGCCTGCTAACAGCACCTACCAAGCCAACCTCCGTCGTGTCGCCGCGCTCCTCCTAGCCGAGGTATCCGCCACGCCCGGCCAGTCTTACGCGACCCGTGCCGTCGGGTACTGACCGAACCGGTTGATGGCCAGCTCCCTTTGCTGGCGCGGCGGCTACCGCTGCGCCGAATGCATCGCCGGGGCCTTCCTCGAGGTGGAGAGAGCGTGCCCGTACCGCAGGGAGGCCTTGTTTTCCGACCGCAACTGCACTCTCGAACTTGCCGAGATCCGCATCTTCGGGACTGGT